AGGGTTTAGGGTTCACGGTTTAGGATGGGTCAACGGCGGACTGCATACGATTGCAAGGCGTAGACAGCCCCTTGCTCCTTCCAGCCCAAGACTTCTTGGCAAAATGACCAGGACAACCCACAACAGCGCCCCAACGGCCCGGTATTCTCTGACCCATAGGGAAGCTTCTCAAAAGACCCTAAGCCTAAACCCTTACAAACCCTAAACCCAAAACCCTATACCGACGAAAAGCCCATCGATTTCCTTCAGCCAGGGGCCTAAAAGCTGGAGGTCGAAGTGCATGCCCTTGAGCAAGCCACCGAAGAAGTAGAAGGCCGCGCCTCTTCAGGGCTAGGGTTTTTGGAGCTGAGGGCTAATGTTTAGGGTTAAGGGTTTAAGGCTCAGGGTTCAGGTTTTAGGGCTTAAGGCTTCGGGTGCAGGGTTCAGGGTTTAAGGCTTAGGGTTTAGGGGTTGGTTCAGGGCTTGGGGGCTTGGGGTTTGGGGGTCTGCGGTTCGGAATTTCGGGTCAGGGCTGAGAGCTTTTTCAAAGGGCCATCAGGGCCCATGGCTTTTGTTTAAGGGCCGCTGTTTCAGCAGCAGGGGGGCTTAGTACAGAAAAAAAACCTGAGGTTTAGGGTTTTGGGTTCTCAGGCTTCGGATTTGGGTTTTGGGTTTAGGGTTCTAAGGCATAGGATTTGGATTCCGAGTTCAGTATCAGTGACAGCAAGCATCATCACAGGGACGAGGAGACGACGACGACCTGCCACATCAGCCATGTAGAAACCGGGCCAAAAGTTCAATAGCCTCGAGCTCGAACTTTCGGAAAATATTTCTGGCAAGTGCCAACACATGCAAGATCTCTCAATTATGAACTGCCGGTTTTGACTCTGCCGCCTGTTGGGCATCGCTTTAAGCACCCTTCCGCGATAACCTCTTTGGCTAAGCCTTCGGCCGGTGCTCCCAATCTGTATCTTGGGAAGCGTCATTGCGATGGGCTGGAAGGCTTAGGGGCAGTGACATGGAGTCTATGGTTAGCGCATGCATGTGTCGAAGTTGCTTTCATTGCATGCCCCTGCCATGAGATGTGAAAAGACAGCTCTGAAAACGCAGACCTGAACCCACAAAGCACACACAGCCTGCCGTCAGGAGGATCAAAGGACACGTCAGATTCCTCGGTCAGCTCCATGCGGAATATGCTGATACCGGTGCAGGAAATCAGGGCTTGGTGGTTGTTAAGGGTCGGGATTGAGCATTACGCAGGGTAGGAGCAGGGGGATGGGCAAGAGCGGCGCAGCAGTAGTAGTAGTAGTCGTCGTCGTCGTATTGTCGTCGTCGTCGTCGTCGTCG